GTGAGTAAATTATTCTGTTACCACTATTATTGCCCCCATCACCACCCCCCACTACCATTACTCCTCTTCCTCTTGCTCCTCGTCTTTTCTTTCCCCCACAGTCTAGATATTAATGCTCCCTCCGGTTCTGTTCTCAGCTCTCTTATCTCCTCTGAGGGCTCTCAAAGGCCATTGCATCTATTGTCAAGTCTTCACATCACCACATATATTTTTATGCCTCTCCAGTCTTTATATCCAACCACTCACCTGAATTCCAGACCAGTATATATAACCACCTGCTGGACCACTCCTTTTTGATATCCCTCTAGTATTTTAAAGTCAAAATTTCCAAATCTAATGTAAATATCTTCCCTCAAAACATGATTTTAAATTCACTTCTTATTAAGATCAGTAATCATCCAAGCCAGGATTCTTAATTTGTTTTTTTCCTTGCTTCTGTTTTGAGAGGTTCAGTGGATTCGATTGGAGATGTAAAAGAAACTGTCCACCCCAAACAAATGGACTGAAGGTATATTTTATTATATAGAGGAGAGTAAAGGCGATAGTCTGCAAACAGATCCGAATAGGTCAAATAATGAAAGGGAAATGACACAAATCGATCGGAAAGGGGAACACCAGATCGACCAAGATAGTAGCAGATTCAAATAGGTCATATAATAAGAGGGAAAAACATCAGATGGATAGAAAGGGAAACACCAGATCTACTGAAGGGAAATGACACAAATCAACCAGAAAGAGAAACACCAGGTTGACTGAAAAGAAAACACATCAGCTCAGTTACTCACAACATCCACGCCCCTCTGCCAGGGAGAATTCCTTCAACTGACACGGCTAAGTGGGACTCCGATCGTCAGAGGTCCTGGGCAAGGCATTCCCTCCACAGGTGAGACTCTCAACAGGCCTCAGTTTCCAGCAGTTTATATAGCATCACTAGTTTCCAGAGGAAGCAGTTACAGAGTTTGCAGAGTAAGCATTTGATGTTCCCATGCACAAATGATTATCAGTGGCGTATCTGCACTGAACCCCCTGGCTATCGTCCCAGCCCGGCAGCTGTGTACGTGCATTGTGCTCCCTGGTTACCATCCCAGCCCAGCACAGATGGCCAGTCTGTCCTGAGCTATGACACCCAAAGAGCCTTGTAATGTTACAAATTGCAACTATCTCTGTGGGAGAAGGGCCAGTTCCTGGGAGAAAGGCCAGTTCCCACCACACAGAAAGCAGCTTTATATTTCTTTGTGTGGTGGTGGCTATAGGTCAGTGGAACAGCCAAACATGGCTGTACTCATGTCAAGACAGCTTCCACTTCTAATTGTTGTATCATCAGGAAGAGATTTTACTACAAGTAACAAAGACCTTAACTAGAAATGGCTTATATATGATCATTTATTTTGTTTTACTTATATCTTCGGAGACTCAGGCTCTTGTAGATCACTGCTCTTCCTTCCTAAAATGGAGACATCAAGAGAGCAGACAGAACTTCAATAATCACATCTATAGGACTAGCAACAGTTAAAAAAGAAGAGATTTTTTTTTTAAAGGAGCACATGCTCCATCTTGTAGTCAGGAATTGTTCCTGAATGTTGCTACACAGTATACTTTTACATCCATTACCCAGAACTTAGTCACATGGTTACATATAACTACAAAGAAGACCAGGAAATGATGTCTTTATTTTGAATGGCCTTTTTCTCATGGAAAAATTAATATAGAAGAAGAGAATAATATTTTCATTTTTTTAAATTTCAGCTTTATGGAAGTATAATTGACATATAAAATTATAAGATATTTAAAACATACATCATGGCGATTTGATATACATATACATTGTGAAAGATTTCCCCAATCTAGTTCATTAACATATTCGTCACCTCACATATTTATCTTTTCAGTGATTTAATGAGTGGTCTCTTATATCTATTACCTTATAAATTGTATCTTTAACCATTTCCTATCTTTTTACTCTTCTCCGTTGCCATTGCCACTGCCCTAGTTCAATATCATCATTCAGAAAAAGCAAATTCTATGAAACTTGGTCTCCACATTGCTAATAAAGTCAACTTCCTAGAACACACACCTGACCATTTAACCTCTTAGCTCAAAATTCTTCCTTAACTCTCCCATACTATAACATCTGCATTTTTAGTTACAAAGGGCAAAAATTGTACTGTTCAATGCATTTCAACCTGATTATGTAAACTTAGCTCCTAACAATCTTTGTATCTTGTCTTCCAGCCACATCAAATTATTTTCAATCTCTTGAGTTTGCTGTTCATTTATTTGTCTTTGTGGGTTTGCACATGCTGTTTCCTTTGCATGAAATGTTTTCCTTCCCCTTTCAGTCTGATGAACGTCTGTATGTCCTTCAAGATCCAGCTCAGACATTACTCTCCTATTTTTTTTTAATCAGCTTGAGTTGCCCACTTGCACCTTCATACCCCTATAGAATGCAGTATCTTTATTACATCATACATTCCAGAGTAGAACTTATTCTGTTGTTTTGTAGGTAAAATTTTATGTATCTGTCTTCCCTCTTAGACTATGAATTCCACAGGACAATGTTGGGCTTATCTGTTTATGTGTGGTACAGATACAAAATTGTAGGTACTCAATAATGTTTTGTTGAATTAATAAATATATAAAATTCATTATATTAGTATATACAATAATTATTTTAAGAATACATGTTATGACTGTAAGGACAATAACTACCTCCACCAATCAATGTCTCAAACAATAAAAACGCTGAACTTTATAGACTGTTTATTTAAATCTATTCTTGAAGAATATGGTTAAATTACCTTTTACTAAATAATTGCCTTTTGTTGATATTTAACAAGATTTTTGTACCTTAAATAAAAATAATCATGATGAGGCTCCAGGAATTCTACTGTCATGAAATGTAAATTTTTCTAGTTAAAAGAGTACCATATTTCCAGGTAAGTGAGTATTTCCAAAGAGCCTAGTGTAGTTCTCTGGTGCAGTAATCTACTACACGTCATTCTATTGAATTGAAAAAAATCCTTCTCCAGAATGGGCTGTCTTATTTAGTAGGATCTGGGCCATAGATTAAAAAAATTATAAATGCTTAAGATATATCTGGGGACTCTGTCATTCACAATATGTTTTATTTGATGGTTATATATCTGTGGTTTCTTCAGTTTGTAAATCTGATCACTGTTTTATAATATTGAGAATATTTTCCTTGATTTATATTTTCAGTAAAATATTCCTCACTATATGAAAGAAAGTAGATTGAATAATTTCTCACTTCAATCATTTTTTTCCAGAATATCAGTTAAGGTACCAAACTTCCTTCACCTTATCTTGATGAATAGGAAAATTATTCCACAGACATCAGAGAACTAATCACGAGGATCTCTTAGTCTCTGCATTTCATATCCCATGTTCAGTTTTTTCTCATCCATTATGTCTCTGAGGTAAAATTGCCAGAAACTCAAGTTGACATCACAGCATTTCTTACTCCCAGCCTGTGCCTTTACTTTGACATTTATCAAAAAACTTGCACTGTACGTCTGTAGGTACACGCAAGTCTTAGAGTATGAGCATCAATTTGCCATAAATAAAGAAAAAGTGGTTCATCTATCCCTTGATCACAATTTGCGTTTGTTTGACATCTGCAGCCAAAAAATAATGTTTTGTTGCCTAACAATTAGTTGAATAGGTTATCACATGGTGTGTATATGTGGGAATATAAACAACTAAAATCAGTCTTTATAATGATCTAAACTTTAGAAAAACTATTTTCCATCTGAGTTGTAAAAATGACCTAAGAATAGACTCCTACTAAAATAACTAAAAATGGAAAATGACACAATGTGGAACTAGTCTTTGCAGTTTTTTGAAAGCCAAGACAAATTTTAATAATGCACAATATAATACTTGTCTAACTAACAAATTTAGCATAGCTAAATTGAAAGCACTGTTAGAATGGCAGAAAATCAGAATTTAAATTACTGAGCAATGGAGCTGTCATTTAAAATGTCAAATATGAAGTTTATTTTCATGAGGGACATCTCATAGAATATTCTATTTCCACCCTGCACTTTTTTTTTTAATACATCCAAAAATATAGGCAAGCATATCTACACCATTGTTTGTGATTTTGTTTTTCTTTTGCTTTCTGTTTTGGCCCAATGTTTTTGTATAATACAATAAAAAATGAATTACTAGGAAAATAAAAAGACAGTCAACAAATTAAAACCACCACTTCGTAAAATTATTATTAGAATCAACAGCACCAAATAGCTGTCAAATTGCTATCAGTGCTTACTCTCAAGTTCTTACTTAATGTGCCGTGGACTGGTAACAAGCGGATTGTGGGCCCGCACTGGTGCATGGACCCACTTTGAGTAGCACTGGTTTACGCCATCACTGGTTCAGAACACACACTCTCTGGTGCATACATCTCTGAGTCAGTCTTCTATGTTCCAGCACAATCTAGGTTGGTTTAAGAGTGTAGATCAGATCACCAAGGTCATAACCGGATTTGTTACGACTTCACTATATTATTCCATATTATCAAATAGGGGTCACAGATATTTTTGTCACTGATATTGGTCACACTGGCCCATAGTAGGTAAATAAAATTTTGTTTAATTATAGGTATTAATTGAAATTTTAAAAACTGTAAGGAATACACTGCTGTACCCACCAAGATTATCTTAAACGAGGCTGATCTAATTCATTCCTTGTTCAAATGCTATGTTACATTTTGAATTAAGAGGTATTTTATTCCTGCAGGTAGAATTTTAGGATCAATTATATCTACCTTGTATTTTAGTAGGTACTTCAGCATGATTATATTAATTTAAACATAAAAATCGGGCTACTTATGAAGGAGTTGAAGTATGAAAGAGCTTCTCAATAGGCTCCTTATTTTAAGCCTTACCAGCCAAATTACAGTGTAATTGCTTTTATTTGATCTTTTCCTATCTAAAAACTGCCTTGAGGGTGCATGTTTCACTCCGTTTAATTTGATCAAAGAGAGAGAAGTCCATGAGTTTTTCAAAGAACATCCAGATTTGAAGTGGTAAAGAATATTCTATGTATTTTTACTATTCCATATGCATGAGTAATTTAAACTGCTTTAAACAAAGAAAAAGAAGGAAAGAAAGAAAAAAAGAAAAGGGTGCACATAATGTTTAGCTTTTCAGTAAAGTTATGTGATTTCATATTTTGAAGATAAAACATGGTATTTGGAAGAACACTACCTATATTTGCCATAATTCTGTTATTATCAATGACATAACATCTTTGCCTTAACCCTTAATCTGTTTGAATATTATTTTGCACTTATTTTTACTCCAAGATTATTATGATTATTTTAAAATATTATTGTTGCCAAACTTTAATTATAGGCCAAAAATTTAGTTTCATTAATTTACATTAAAACAAAATTAATCCGTTTGGGAACTAATAATGATAAATTTAGCACTATTCAAGACTCCAAGTTTAGAGAAATACTTGTGACTGTCTTTATTAGTTAATTATTCTAAGTGTCTCATCTATATTTCTTCTTTACATTTAATTCTCAAATAGTATTTTAAGTGTTTAAAACCTCCAAGCAGCATTTGTGCTATAAATCTTTTCTGCTATACATCTGACAGTTATTTTATTTTATTTTAGTATTATATTTTATTTTATTTTTGGCAAATAAGAAACGAATGAAAGATGAGGATGATTGTTTATACATAATCAGGTTGAATAACGGAGAAGTAGGATAATTTTCACAAGCCACACTAGCTATAAGTAGACACACCTGCACATCTCAACTGCTACTTCCCAGTGCCCTGGAATTTTCTCAAGGGTCTGATCTTACTCATTTAATGAACTATATGTTAATTGTTCAGCCATTTCTAGTGACTTACTAGGGTAAAGTCACTAAATGACTTGGAATATATAATGAACTGTCTCACAACCAGATAGTAGCTACCCTTTAACTGAAAAGCGTGACCGGCACTTACTTTTAAGCAATGAAAGGGGGAGGGGATTGGTTCAATTCAACAGACATTTATTATGTGTTTATACGTTAGAGAGTATTGCTAGATTACTGTTATTTTGTGAGACAGGAGGAAATGGCATATAATGGACTAGCAGCTTCACCTTGTTCTCCAGGGAAGTCTTGTTCAGTGAAAAACTTGTCATTTGGGCTGTCATAAGGCATCCATTTCTTATTTTAGTAAGGAATATAGGTTAAGCGGGCATTTATATATTATGCGGATACCAGTCTCGGTCTTGTGGTGTTGAGACATACAAGCTCAGGGATTGTCTTCAAAATGAGGCCATTTTATAAGAGGTTTATGTGCATTGTAGGATGTTGTGCATTAATTTTGCTTGCTTTCCTTCATTTATCTATTTTAATCTTAGCTTGGATTTAAGAAAAATTTAGCCCGTAGAAATTTAAACTTTAAAAGGCTCCTATTACTGAAACTCAATTTTGGGGGCACTTTGATGTCATGCTGTTCAACGGGACAGAAGGGCATCCAGGATGAACTTGAGTATCCATTTTCTTCCTGTTAATAGAATACGTTAGCATCAATTTCCAATGCAATGCATTAGCAGCTTCGGTCCCATACTTAAACTGTTTCAAATTAGAAGAGGATTCTAAAAGTCAAAGGAATGTTTATTTAGGGAAAAATACCTCCTGATTCTGTCCTCGAAAACTTACATTTTGAGGGGAAATTTTAACTCATTACGTGAGAAACGGGTAGGTAGAAGTGCTTCCAAGAAGAGAGAACACTGTTTTCTTCACGGAGTTTTAGATAACGACAACAGGGCTGCTGGTAATTCTTGAAGCAAATGATCAAGATATCAGATGCGTATTTCATGCCAGGGACTCTGCTTGACACGCTCGGCCTTCCCTGGCACCACCCAAAGGTTTATGCTTTCTTACAGTATTAGAGGCTTGGCAATATCATCCCCTTTACCCCCATACAAACTAATTTTCTTCATTGTTAATCATCAGACGATATACATTCAGCCCATTTTAGGAGTATCCTATGTCTGTAATAGTAAACATTGTTATAGTCAGTGGATATAAATGTAGATATAACCAATTTTCAGATATGGTAAAACAAATACATACATGTTTCAATTTTGTAAGTTACAACTATATTTTTTATTCACCATGGATTCTTTTTGGCAACCTCCCTAATTTCTGAATCTTTGCTTCCCCTAAATATCTGTAACTCTTCTCAGGGTTCAGACTACAAACTTATAAACTGTCTACCCAAGACTATGCTCTTCTAAATAATTTTTTCTCTTCCTCTCATCTTCCACTTCATTTTTTGTATAGCATGTTTGTCTTGATTCACTGCTCCTTAGGGAACAAGAACTGGCCACAGATTCTCTCTTGGGAGATGGGGCTCTCACTCTCAGGGACATATTTGTTACGTTCATGAATACATTAAAATTTAGAGAAAGTCATCTCTTAAGACAATAAATCACAACTTTCAATTTTTAAAATAAGAAAAATTGCACTGGTAAGTTTCTGATTAGCATATCATCAAATTGTATCCAGACACTCCAAGTTGCCTCTGCAGTTGTTAAAATCACTAAGTAAATTGAATATAAAAACCTCAGCTAAAAACTTCAGTTAGAAATCACTGGAACCAGATTATGTTTTACAACAATAAATGGGTTAACAATGATGACAATACATGCATAAAGGGAAAGTATCCAGATAGTCTTTAAATGTCATATTATGCTTATGAAACATCTAGAATCACTCCTTGCTTTTGCAACATAGAGTTGTATGAACTAAAAAAAGCATTTTTCAGACGAATAGCATGTATTGTGCTAATGCATATTTCCTCTCTTAGGTGTATCACTAAATAACATAAGGAATAATTATCTCTATCAGTAATATTATGACTGTGTGAAAACTTGAATTTCTAACCGGAGTATTTTAGTCCAGGATAGACGGATAGGTATGTCCCAAAAAAAGAAGTCAGAGAAAAGAGATAATAACACTTAATAAGCAGTTATCTGTACAAAATTTTTTTTCTTCCTCAGTGCTTTACATTTCTTAACTCATTTAATCCCCTCCAAGCCCTAAGAAATAGAAATCATTGTGCTGGTTTTATAGACGGAGAAACTGAGGCACAAGAGCTCGTGTACCTTGCTGAAAGTGACATAAGTGGCAGAATTAGGATTCAAAACCAGGGACGCTTAAATATTGTGTACACTGCCTCTCCATTAATGGGGATGTAGATCTGCACACTCTCATTGCTATTAACTTAAATAACTTTTTTTTTTTCAACAAATAAATGTTTACAGCATTTGGGGAATATTTTGTGTGACTAGTAGATATTGGCCAATTATTTTAATATCAGGAATTTTACCACTGAAACTGAGAATATAAGAGAAGAATCCTTAAAAATAATCTATTCTATTGCCTTTATTCGTGTTGAAAAAAATAGATCACTTCATAATCAAATTTGCCACTTGCTAGGGCTGTTTATATTTTGGACGGTACGCTGGGAGCAAAGAAGTGCAATGAAGTTTTCATGAATTGGTTTCAGTTAGGTTGGTTCTAATTTAGAGGTGTCGTTTAACAATTTTTCTTCTGTTCCTTCCAGTTGGTCTTCATGCCCAATGCTAAATAATTATGACACACTTAAGATTTCCTCTTAGCTTATTTATTGAACTGTCAAAGGCATTAAAAAAATCCCTCCAGTAATGCATAACCCACCCAATCTCCTAGGACAAATCTTGGAGAGACTTGGATAAATTTTGGATTAGGGGAAAACTGGAAGGAACTTGGACCTATTGGGATTAGGATATTGGTCCCCTGATCCCCAGGCTAGAGAGATGTGGTGTGATGGCCCCCAATGTCCCCAGGCAATGTGGGTTTCTACCAGAATTTGCAAATTCCTGCAGCTTTGGCAATGCTGTGAGTTGAACAGCTATTTGGCTTGTTATAATGTTCCCAGAAACAAACTGAGAGGTGAGTTTAGCCTTCTAGTACAGAGATTAGAGGCAAAAATGTTTCTAAAATGTACCTGTAAGCTATCTACAAAAAAAAATTCTATTTGTTTATGATTTTTAGAGACGTATGAGTTTAAAGACGTTATCAAATACATGTACATAAATGTATATTTAGAGAGAAAAAAGATTTTAAGGGTGTTACTGATGGTTGTGACAGATACTAATGAATATAATTATGAAGAAAAGAAGATAGTATTTTTTTTAATGGACACAACATGGTAAGTTTAACAAGGTTTTTTGATTGAAATTCTTTGGAACTGAGCAAATGCAGAGAGTTTATGCAAGCTAATCAGGGAGCGGTATTTGAAATAGATAATGTCAGTAAACTAAAGGCAAACACCACTTTCCCACACTAGTTTATGCAGAAACTTGTCTCTGAAGTATGAAAGATGACAGGAGACAAGAGATGAAACTCCCTGTTTGGATGCACAGCAGGACACCAGTAGAGAAACAAACAAAACAAGACTAAACGTAGTCCTTAAATATCATATTATACTTATGAAAAATCTAAAATCATACATTGATTTTGCAACATAGAGTAGCAGGAATTCCAAAAGCCTTTGTCAGAGGAATAATTTGTGCTAGGGTGTATTTCTTCTCTTTGGTGCATCACTGAATAACATTAGAATAATTTTCTGTATCAGTAATATTATAACTGTGTGAAAACAGCAATAACAGCTGTGTGGCCTTGCGCAAATGATTGACCTCTTTGGGTACATCCCCCCCAAAAGAAGATTTTGAGCCTTGCAGTCATTTTACAAACCTAGCTTTCAAGAACCACCTGAGGGCTTTTTTTTTAAATTATAAATTCACGCACGTCCCACCTCTAGAGTCAGATGCAATAGACATGATATGGGCTTTAGGAATCTCTATTTTTGTAAGTTTCCCAAATGATTCTCCTACATCCAATCAATGGATTGTTATTTAGGAACATGTGTTCAGATGATCTTCCAGTTTTCTAGAAAGCCCAAGTTTCCATGAAATGTATGAGCTTCACTTTGAAGATAGTCTGTGGTTGTAAATTCAGGTGAGTTCTCTGCACTAGACTACAGTTTCTCACTAGTCTCTGAACACCTGGAGAGCATGTCTCATTCACCCTTGTCACCCAGGGTCCAGGATACTTTCTGGCATTCGCTAAATATCAATTTAATAAATTAAATGCATGAACAAAGCAACATAACTTCTTATATTAAGTAAAGTGTTATCTCTCTCCATATCCCCAAATTAAGAGAAATGCATAAGTAAAATACTTTATGTAGCAGGAAATGAATCTTATTTAGTTTGCAAAATGTCATTTATCTCCAGGATAAGGCAAAATGACATGGATACACAAGATGTTAAGTGTCCATATGCTGAGTCAAAATCTTTAGCTAAGTTGTTACCCAGCTTTCCTCCCCTACATCTTGTCACATCCTCCAATCATCTACCTTATCAATTGATGGTGTTCTATTTTAGAAACATAATATAAGAGATAAATTTTCATTGGCATTTAAATGATGAAACATTAAAGGAACTTTGCCAATTTCTCCCTCCACCACCACACGAAAAAATAAAATTGGGTTATAAACTATATTTAGTTACTCAGTTTTCATTTTATTAAGAATGAGATTATGAAATCAACTAAGAGAATGTTCCTAAAGTAGAACAGAATATATAGACATTTCTAAATAATGAATTTACATCATCAAACTATGTAGCCTTATACTCATAGAGACAACCAACAATGATGAAGGCATTAAGCTTATTCAGTAGGTTTTGGGTTTGAAGTCATATATGACTTACTCTATTTTCGTTCTGTGGCATGTGGTGATCTGCTCTTCTCAGGAATTGGGAATGTTTTCTCTAAAATCTTTCGTCCTCACCCACTATTTTGAAATCTCTAAATAGCTATGTACTTTAGTTTAGTTTCATTTTTAATTCCTCTGTACTTTATGGAGTTTTATCTAACTTAATGCAGAATTTTGTCTTTGAAAAATATCTATTTAGCTAAAAATTCAAGCAATCACTGACTCACTTCGGGAAATGATTAGTGGAATCTATGAAGATAAAAGACATTTTTCAAGGAAATGAAGAAAATTGGGAGCTGAGAAACATGTCTGTGATTGTTACCTATTATCTGGAGATTTGTGACTGTGAATGGCAGCCAACTTGTTTCATGAAAAGTCTGTGTCTGGCTAACTGTGACAACAGCAGATCTGAAAGAGACCAGCTTTTGGTTACATCAAAATTGAGCTGCCCATGGATGTGATTAGCATGGAAGGGCTGTGGCTGCAGATGGCTGCAGGGATGTAAACCTGGCGGAAATAATGACAGGGCTGCAACTCAGCAGTAAGTCTTCAAAAATTTTTTTTTAATTTTCTTTCATTCTTTTTTTAACGAAAGCTCTAAACTTGGAAAATTGTAACACCTGGAGATTTGTCATAAATGTCACTGAAATGTTAATCGAGGCACCAACAGAGAATAACAACTTTTGATTTTCTTGTATTCTGCAAAGATCTTCTCTCTTAAATTTTAGGACCATAATCCAAAAAATGGTATTTAAAAATTGAACAATAAACTCTGCCCAACTGAAATGTTTCCACGATTTTTTTTTTCTGATTTATCTCACAGACCAGAAGTCAAAGTGTTCTTAGTGGAAACATTTAAAATATGACTAAAATAGGATGTTTATATAGTAACCTGAAAAAGTTAAGTACAAAAGCAAATCAGCTTGTTGTCAAAAACTGTAAAAATACAGAAAATACAATGAAACTACAAATTATTTATAACCATAACACTCAGAAAAAAATCATTTTTGTTTCTTTACAGTTATATCTATGAATTTAAAACTTTTTATTTTTATTTTAGCCTTTAGAAATTAAGGAACTCCGCATATTAAAAAGAGATAAGTAAACTGTTCAAGATCGGTACTTTTTAAATTTTTATACTATTTTCAAATAATTTATTGCATTCCAAGAAGAGAATTTAATAGTCAACCTCTTTGTGAGTTTATGAAACCTAAATTCAGGTAGGCCACAATCTGTAAGCTTTGGTAAGAAATAAATTCTATGCATCAAGAAATTTTTCCATGTGTTTGCTACAAGTTTTATATTAGAGCTAAGCGCATCTTTAACACCAAGTTTGTTTGCATTAAAACTATTCATACTTGTAGATCTAAAGTTTGGAATTACATATATTTCTGCTTCTATAAAATAAATACATTTACTATTAAAACTTCTACGTGCTTTCTTTTGTTGCTTTCTTTTGCATCTGTCAAGTATTATATATTTATGTAGGCCAGAGTCATCAATGTAGCTGGGTAGCAAAAAAAAATCACAATCATTATATAAAAGTGAACAGTAACAGGGGCCGGCCCGGTGGCGCAAGCGGTTAAGTGCGCGCGCTCCGCTGCGGCGGCCCGGGGTTCGCTGGTTCGGATCCCGGGCGCGCACCGACGCACTGCTTGGCAAGCCATGCTGTGGCAGCGTCCCATATAAAGTGGAGGAAGATGGGCACAGATGTTAGCCCAGGGCCGTCTTCCTCAGCAAAAAAAGAGGAGGATTGGCAGATGTTAGCACAGGGCTGATCTCCTCAAAAAAAAAAAAAAAAAAAAAGTGAACAGTAACAGCATGAAAGTCCTAAATATTCTTACATGCGAAGTTCAAGAATGTAATATAAAATTGGTGTTCTGCTTTGTTCATTCACAAAATTCAGATAAATTTTCAAATTTTAAATACCTTTTACAAAAAAAGTCCTGTATTTTTAACTCTTACTTGACTAAAAAATATCCAGAAACTTCTTGTTCTTCAGAAGAATTATGTTAAACCAAGATTACTTTTAGTGCACATTAAACATTACAAAGGTTAATAAATGTCACATTACAATAGATCAGTCAATATTTAAGCCTCTTCTGAGGCAAAGTTCATGTGCTCTAGGGCAAGGGAAAAAGCTTCATAAGGGTGTATTGAATGACTTGTAAACCATGGGAATTATTTTATTTTTTATGTAGTGTCTGGAATCGAGACAGACTCCCGAGAACATTCAGCATTCTAGAAACAGCAAATCTCCTTCTATAATCAGCAAACAAAACTTTTTGTTTGAATTTACAATTTCTTTTCTAAAATGTGCGTCGAATTATAGAATGAACTGACCAATTTGCTTTCTGGAAAGTTGTGGCACTTCTCACTTCCATAGATTGCCTCATACTGCCCGTTGCAGAAACTGAAAGTATTGAAAAAACAGCAGCAGCAGCACACACTCGAATGCACACTTTGCTCTGAAAGCTTTCTCACAAAATTTGCTCATTTGACAGAAGATCTGCCAACACTAGGGAAAGATTTTCTCTTTCCATTTCTTCTTTCCAACTGCCAGAGGCAGACTGGGTATTCTGAAGTTTACCACCCAGAAAGACAAGGCTTTTGTCTCCTAATTTGATTATTGACCCTGGTGGCCTTGAAATAGAGAATGGTACTAGCTAAGATAAATAGAATGGAGAAAGAACCAAACAGAGGCATAACAAAAGTAAGCTAAAGAATGTCAATTTCCCTGAGACCCCCAAGTTACAGAGGAGCACAGGTTAGTGGGCCAGCCACAGTTGATTGACTGACGAGATAAGTCACCCTGGGAATTTGAGAAAAGGAATTTAAGTGCCATTAGGTTAAACAAAGGCTTTAGGTTAAACACTCTGTGTAAAAGTTGGTTGTTTGTTTTCAGACCAATAAAAAAAAGTGCCTTTGACTTCCAAGAACCATTAACTCTGTTTTTGTCAGCCTGTACCTCATCTCACCCATTAAGAATCTTCCAAAGCCAAACTGGAGACAAGTTATTTAGTCTCCAAGCTGCCATCAAGTTTCTTGACTCTTTTTTCCCTTTCGATTAATTATTCATTATTGCCCAGAAATCCTCCTAAGAAATCCTGAGGGTGCTCCTGGTGTCTTCTCAAACTACACAAAACGTTCCAAAGGTTGGGTTGGCATGGTTTGGTTTTAAATCAGATTTTCAAAGCCGAGAGTGTCCTTATACTTTGATTCTCAAGCCAGTGGAGAGACCATGCTGCCGTTTTCCACCACAGCCCATCACAGAAGTTCATAGCAAAGGCTCAGGGGTGAGGAGGAAATGAGGGTCATTTGAAAAAGCATTTTTTTAATGAGGAAGATTGGCCCTGAACTAACATCTGTGGCAAATCTTCCTCTTCTTGTTTGAGAAAGGTTGCCCCTGAGCTAACGCCTGTGCTAATCTTCCTCCGCTTTGTGTATGGAACACCACCACAGTATGGCTCGATGAGCGGTGCTCAGGTCCGTGCCTGGGATCTGAACCTGTGAACCCGGGCGGCCGAAGCAGAGCGCATGAACTTAACCACCATGCCACTGGGTTGGCCCCACAAAAAACATTTTTAATGCATCTAATTTACCGTAATTCAAGCAAGCAAAATTAAATTTCATTAAAATCTAAATAGAAGATGAATGGGCAAAGCTTTAAAGGGGGCATGAAATAAGTAAAGAAAATTTGAGAGATGATGATCTTGTTGAATTCCTTCACAGTTGATACAAGAAGAGGGCATATGGTCCACACAGGTAAAATGACCTCCTAAGGTAACCCAGTTAGTCAATGATAGCGTGGTGACAAGAACACAGATCACTTGACCCAGTGGGAACACTTGACTGAGGTGCTGCATATGTAACAGAATTCATTCTGTCTGCGATTTGATTGTTCAATGATTTAACAGAAGAACCCTTTCCTTGCCATGTATAGAGTATAGTTTACTGTTGCGGCCCTAACAAATTACTACAAACTTAATGGTTGAAGACAATGGAAATTCATCATATTACTGCTCTGGAGGTCAGAAGTCCAAAATGGGTTTTAACATGCTAAAATTGGGGTGTCAGCAAAGCTGCATTCCTTCTGGAGACAATTGCAGGGAATCCATTCCTTGCCTTTTTGACCTTTTAGAAGCCACTTGCATTCTTTGGCTTATAGCCACCTCCTTCTCAACTTTGCTTCCATGATCATGTCTTCTTTTTGGACTCTAACCTTCCTGCCTCCCTTTTATGAGGACATTTTTTATTACATTGGGCCCATAGGGATAATTCAGTATAATCTCCCCATCTCAAGATCCTTAACTTAATCACATCTGTAAAGTCCCTTTGCCATGTCAGCTTAAAATATTCACAGGTTTGGAGTACTAGGTCAAGGACATCTTTTAGGGACTATTATTTTGTCTACTACCACCAAGTATACCACCAAGGACTGATGCGAAGATTAAACCATGAATTTAACAAGAAAGCTTTGCTCCATGTTTTTACTGTTCAGACATCAACTCATTACAGGAAAACATTTTGACCATATTATTGCAAACACTAGGAGTAAGTAGTGGAAATTTTATAAGCATGTGATCAGTTATAAAGTGAACCTGTTCCAATTAATGGACAAATGAAAGGTCATAAATAATTCATCTTTGTAGTTGCGTTGACCCATATAAAGAACATTAAAAAATTTTACTCTAAGATTTCATAGACTCTGTACAAAAGAAATACAAGATTTACGTAACATTGCAAAAACAAATGCCCCAGTGTTCAATGGAGTAAGACCCTGACCAGAATAACTGCATTCAAGAAGCAAAATTCACAAAACTCTTGCTATTTCACTGCAATTAAAAATTGCTAACAATTATTCTTCTAGAATAATAAGTTTGGCATAATCGAAGGACAAATCGTTGCTATTTGATATCCTAAAATGTTAATAAATGGATTCCTACCAGATACTATCATTTTTAAGACATTCAAATTTAGGAGAAAAAAATCTTTTAAATCCTAGGTAGTAGGATATTTTATATTTTCCATAAAAGTTAAGAAACTAAACATTTTTCAAGTTTTCCAAGACTCTCAAATGACACCAATATTTTATACATGAACATGTAACATAAAATAGTATTATTTTATTAGTATTTGAAAGTTAGAGCTTCTAATGGCAGAAGCACTGAACAGGAAATGGTGATGAAGTTTCTCTGCACAGACTAGTTTAATGTTAGCTTGAAGGTTTTTCTTAGAAATATTATAGTTCTGGTCAAACGATGATAGTCTAAATCATATGCAAACAATACACACCTGAATTCATTTTTCTTTCAGTATAATATGCTGTTAGGCCAGAAACCAAGCCTAATTCATTTTATATTCTGCGCTCCAAGGCCATGTAGACATTCTAGAATACTAAGCAGTCAGGAGGGAAAGAAAACAAATGTTTTACAACTATGAGGTGGGGGGAGGCGGGGAGCTCGTGAGGAAGGGTGATTAATGGAAACCTAGTAGTTGACTAGGTTCTAAATCTTTACAGCATTTTTACTCCTAGTATGAAGTAACTTAGGAGACATTTGTTTTGTTTGCTTTGATTTTAACCACTCTTTTCTACATTGTATCTTCAAAAATTCTATGACACACAGTAAATATTCTATAAATATCTGGTGTCTTAGCTCCAGCTGCCATAACAAAATACCATAGAGTGGGTGGCTTAAACAACAAGAATTTATTTTCTCATAATTCTAGAGTCCAGAAGTCAGCATGGTTGGGTTCTGGTGAGAGCTGTCTTCCTGGCTTGCAGATGGCAGTCTTTCCTTGTGTGTTCATACAGCCTTTCCTTGGTGCGGTGCACGTGGAGAGTGAGAGATCTCTTCCTCATCTTAGAAGGCCACCGATCCCATTGGATTAAGACCTTACCCTAAAGACCTGATCTAACCCTAATTTCCTCTCATAAGCCCTATCTCCAAATACAGTCACACTGGTTAGAGCTTCAACATATGGATTTTGGGTGAGAATTCAACCCATAGTAGTCCACCCTGGCCCTCAAAATTCATGTCCTTCTCATAGGCAAAATATACCCATTCTATCCAACAATCCCAAAAGTCTTAACTCATTCCAGCATCAGCTCTAAAGTCTAAAGTCCAAAGTCTCATCTAAATATGTAAGTCAGATATGAATGAGACTGGAGGCAGGATTCTTCCTGAGGCAAAATTCCTCCCCAGCTGTGAACCTGTGAAACCAGACAAGTTACTACTTCCAAAACATAGTAATGAGACAGGCACAGATTAGACATTCTCAGTCCAAAAGGGAGAAATCGGAAGGAAGAAAGAGGTGACAAGTCCCAAGCAAGTCCAAAAACTAGCAAGGCAACTTCCATTAGATCTTCAGGCTCTATGAGAATAATCTTCTTTGGTTTGATGCTCTATCCTCCAGGCCCATTGGGGATGCAGTGTTACCCCCATGGCTCTGATTCAGGTCTAGCTCCTGCAGCTCTGCTAGGACAGGGTCCAGGCCCAAAGGTAGAGGTTATCTGGCCTATAGAAGCCAAGGAGGTAGCCCTGATGATCTCTGAATCATGTTCAGGGTCATTTTTCCTTCTTCTTTAAAAATAGAGCACATTCACAGCCAAATGGCTCTATTGTCCTGTCCTGTCAAATCAAAGAAGTCTAACAGCCTTCCTTCATCTCCTGTCTCCTTCCCCTTCAGTTCAAACTGGCAGTGTTTCTGATTGTATAATCCCATAAGCTCTTTTTTTTTTTGATGGTAACAAATTTATTTATTTATTTATTTATTTTATTTTAAATTTTTTGTTTATTGCAGTAACATTGGTTTATAACATTGTATAAATTTCAGGTATACATCATTATACTTCTATTTCTGCATAGATTACATCATGTTCACCACCCAAATACTAATTACAACCCATCACCACACACATGTGCCAAATTAT